GTGTCAAGCCTATTTATTACAGATTAAAAAAAGCTTTTTGTAAATTCGGAACACTAAGCCAAACAAGTCTAGTTAATAGGTTAATTTTGAAGTTTTAAAATGTTACCTTATATAGTTGCACTCAAGAATACTAATACCTAGTACTTGTAAAAAACGCCAGAAACAACAATAATGATATGCTATTCGACCCACGAAATTATGAGCCAGAAAATGAGGGCCCTAATAAAAGAGAAGACGCTCCAGGAAATTATTACCGGTAGGTAGTACTTGTACGCCTTATTACAATATGCCCATCAATACCTACAGTGGCAATACGACGCAAAATGTTACAAACATTATTGTTTTACTGACAAATTTGACGATTTCGGTTGACCAGTTAACATTAGAATCAGTATAGAAAACGAAATTTTCGTTACTCTGGCACCTATGGTAAAGGGAATTAGCTAGCATGAGATCAGATAACTGAAGTTATCATACTCTTAATACAATAAAGCCACATGTGATATCCAGTGATCGGAATTGAAGAAGTTAAGTATAAAATTTCTTTTTTTACCGTTTATTTTCTAAACATTCCAAAACATAAGTTGTCTCATGTTTATTTTTTAAATGGTTAAAGTATTTAAATATGCAAGTGGCTATAGAAACACATCTTCAATATTATTTTTGAGACAATAATTTGTAGCAAACATTTTAATAGGAAATAATAATTTATCCACAATGTAGTGAAATGTCAATAAGTGATACTCGATAAACTTGAAAATTACAAAGAGGAAACTTAAAAAAGAAATTTATTTTAATACTTTGTTAATGAAACATTTTAGTCTATTGATGAGTATTTGAATCCTAATGAATTATTTAATTATTATTTTAATCAAAATGTTTTTAGTTTGTAGAATCATAATATTTATTGTATATTTGAATTTTATACAATTCTTATGCTCGTTATGTTTATATATTCATTTACTTATTTAGTTCGTATTCCTTAAGGCGCAGCATCGATGGTTACCATAAATTTATTTATCACCATGTATTTCAATGTATCTACTGTAACTTATGTTGACGAATAAATATATTTCAATTTGAATTTGCATTTGAGGAGCAAAAGAACCAGAATAACCGACATAGCCCAAAGAATTACAAAGCTCAAATGGCTTTGCTTATTCCCCCAGAACAGAAATAGACGGTGCCAAGAGTTCTTGGATGACGACCGCGGAAGAAGCAGTGTGGGCAGACCTACCACAAGATCAACTGATGACAATTGAAAGTTTTTTCCGCTGGGCGCAAGCAGTACAAGACCGGTCGTTGTGGCGTTCTATGGTGGAGGCCTGTGTCCAGCAGTGGATGACTTTCGGCTAAAATAATAATAATAATAATCATTTATTTCCAATCACAATGGTATTGATCTTATAATAGGTACATACAGAGGTTGCAATGACAACGTGTTTGACTGTTGCGGGAGAGCGGAACCTGTACTAGGATACCCTGTTTTACAATATTCCGACCCCCTACTTTCAGCCTCGATCAATGATGACAATGAGTGTACAGATTTTAACAAATACTCATTAATGTAACCTAAATTTTAAACCTTTGATCATACCTTCTGCATTTGCTAGATTTGGGAACAATAGGAATGCTAAGCTATCAAGTTACCCGCAGCGTAACCGGACAGGCCTACGCCAGCGCTTTGTGAAGCGACTGCGGAACAGCTACTATACGTTTGGTAGTCGTATCTGCAAAACAGAGGGTAAGCGTGTTGTGGAGTTTAATAAATTAATTAAATCTTGTAATAGTCATAGTGATTAGATATAGTAAATAGATTTACTACTGTTTATTACTACTACGAGATGTAGGAAATACCAGCGTACTTATTAATTACAAAATAAATATTCTAACTTGAGGTAATTACATTTTTTATTTAAAAAAAAATCGGCCTCAAAAATTTGTGGAACATTGCCAACCTATTTGCCAAGTTCATTGAAAGTGAGTGAAATCCAATAAACCGGATTCATCAACTAATTGCCACTCCTTAGGGCTGAAATATTTTCTTCAAATTTGAATGAGACCCCTTTCCAACAAAAAAGAATAATCGAAATCGGTTCCCATTATTAGTCGAATTAAGAACCTCCACCTTTTTTGAAATCGGTCAAAAAGACAGCTGAAGTACTGGAAGAAGTACGAAGTAACAATAAAGAACAATTAACAATTAAATATGCACACACGGATACAAAATGCGAGTCACCTTCCATTTTTATTCTTTAAAGGGCTAGAATACAAAAAAAAAGTTATCATCGAAAACATTTTACATTTTACAAATTCAAATCTTCAATACATATGTTTAGTATACCAATTTCAAAATTGCATAAAAGTTTTTGATCAATCAAACGTTGTTTAAACTTAAGGCATTTAATACTGAAAATGGAAGTCTGGAACTACGTGTTACGGGAAACAAATGTAAATTTACTGATTTTTATCAAAGAATACTGGACCAAAGCTTCCTGTTCAAACAGCGGGAACGATCTGAACACAATATGTTCGATTAATAAATCAAATACACGATTTATAAATCTACCAAATTATCCAACCTGCAAAAAAAGGTTTGGTTAACGTAGTACTGTAACAATAATTGTGAGGCTACTGTGGAAGTGCATACAAATTTTAGTCACGTAAAAGTGGCGCCTAGCACTGAGAGGCAAACACCACGGCTAAAGCAATTATTTACACTCCACTGTTGTTACTTCTCTCGCATTTTCGCCACCGATTCTGATTTCAACGTGTAAAATTACTCGGAAAATAGGTTTACAAACAATTTACGTCTCTCACGTCACTAACAATATCGCAAAAATGGAACTTTTTAAGAGTTTTTTTAGATGTTTCAATTTTTTGCTCATTTGGCAATAAACGTATGCAGTACATAACATAAAATTTCAGGATAATTCCTTTTGTCACGCATAAAATACCGCGTACGTTTCGCAGTGACATAAAATTTCAACAATAAAACCATGCGACAATAGACAGATAATAAGAGGCGCTATCACAGCACAATATCGGGCACAACACGTAAATTATCACGCTCTAGTGAACACTGAAAATAGACAAGGAGGAGCGAGCTTTATCCAATAATAATTCTCACTTGAATCGCTCTATTTGTTCGCCGCTCGCCGTCGCGCGATCTGATATTGAATATGGATAAAGTGAATTATATTCAGAGTGGCGGGCAGCGACTAGCGACGATTCAGAGAGTTCTAGGTAAGAGGATTACTTACAAGTTATAATTGGTTCTCGACACTCGAATGGGGAAAAAACCGAAGGTCGTTTAGAGCGCCTCTTAAGTCCCAGAGATAATGATCACTATTTTTAATTGAAATAAACTAAAGGTTTCATTTTAAGCCCAAGATTTATCCAGTTCCTTATTCGCGGTGTTAAATCTGTAACACTAGATTAATATTTTGGTACAATCGATGCCTTACGATTCCTAACCCTCTAGCAGACCTTTTGGTTGCGCGAGCCTTCTTATGCATTCAACAGAATCGTATAGGCATTTCAGCTTTAAGTTGAAATTTGTATTTATGCAACGTAATTAAAGACCCAATTGGCTTAAAACTTTCTTAAAACGTCGTTCACTGGGGATACAATAAGGAGGTCATACCAAAATGTATTTTACTAGTCACTGGTTAAAGGTTAAGTTTGTTGAACACTTTTCTTCCATGTGAACTCAAATCTTAGGATATGGACTGTAAACACATACTATTACGCTATACGAACGACCATTTCAATTCAGAAGTATTAGTAAGTACGTGACCACAGTCACAAATGGGTCATATTGTCAAAAGTTTTAAAATATGAGTGACATATTCACATTTAACTAAGTTTCGGGGAACGCAAGCAACGAATTGTTCTCATACGCGTCTCTACAAAGTCTAAGTGATAAACTGCTGTTCAAGTTTTAAGGGAACTATTTGACATAGGGCTCACCCAAATAGGCAACCGTACCTTATGTTTAACGAAACTAATTTATTGCCAAGACAAAGCGTTTTTATCATTAACTCATTTCGACTCATCCGAAGAACAGAGTCCGATGTGATTATACAACGAAAAGAGGATAATGCATAATCTCGTTATTCAAAATAAGGCCTAGTTATAGGTGTTTTCCGAACTTTATGTATTATTTCGTATGGGAAATATAAAATCGATCAATGATCGATTTTAGATTCACAGCTAAGAGCAGCGAACGAAATGTACAATGTCCTGAGAATAAGCAGTCTTGCACATAGGTCTTTGTTCTACGGATGAGTCGATTTAGACGACCCGCAGCCGGGCACGGGTTTCCTCTCAGGGTTTAGGTCATAGTCTGCGTTGGGGACTTCATACGTTTTCCGAGCGATATGAATCTTTTTCGACGTGAAAACGTCCTTCACCGAAAACCTCGTGGTAAATTTCAAATTAAATTTCGCACATAGATTCCGCAAAATTCAGAGGTATGAACCCGGATCCAAACCCACGGCCTCTGCTTTAGATGCGATAGGTCAAAACATTAAGCTACCAACGCTTTTGCCAAAAAAAAAAATAATACCAATTCGTCGTAAAATATGTACAACACAAAAAAAAATATTATGAATTTCCAGGAAATGGTAAAAGGAAATCAACAATGAAGGTCGCAGTTCTCCTCGGGGCCTAAAGAAATATTAAAGTTAAAACGGCGTAATTATAAACGTGGAATATGAAGAGCTCGTAATGAAAGAGAGCACATTCAAGTAATTGATACTGGCATAGCGATATTTCTCATTAAGTTCTAATAGTTGAGCATGTCGTAATTTTTAAAAGACCCTATAAAACTGAACGTTTGCAATAAGCTGGCGCAGTCGTTGAGGCACATACCAATACACTTGCTAATTTAATGATTTAAACCTATTTTATGGCACTAATAAAACTGCGTCAATAAAAGATAAAAAGGGCTAAATTCAACTATAATACACTGAAGTGTATGAAACTTAAATCCCAATATGATAGAAAAATTAAAAACGTTTTTCCAAAAAGAGTTTGACTATTCTCAAAGCTACGTTAACCCGTACGAATTTCATAAAGTGTTTTATTTTTTTTCAAGAGCTTATTTTCTTTTAGAAGATAGTTATCTTATACCCAAGTGGAGGTAACAATTAAAATTTGTAATAAAGTTACCTCTAAATCGCGTATATTTATTTTTTTCAAACAAACCAACGTTTCAAGCCCTTTACAGATCACATGACCAAGATTTTCAACATAGTTATAAAAGATGCAGTAGCAGTAGAGCTCCTTGTAATAGCAGTAGAACTTGTTGTGAAATAGTTCATCCAGGGTAGTACTGCCTCCGTGTCTATTTCTGCCGGCAAACAGTAATGTCAATATTAATGTGTTCCGGTTTTGAAGGGTAAGGGTGGTGGTGAAATTACAGGCACATGGGACTTGTCAACTTAAGTCTCAGGGTGACGGGCGCAGTGGCAGTGTCCCTCAAATGTTTGCGATTTAAAGCTCTGAGTGGCACTGCAATTGTTAGGATAGGCGTGTAGCTTACCTTCAGGTGCACGACTTACAGACAGGTCACTTAATATTATTTTTTAAAAAGTTATTAATTAAGGGCCTTATTTTCAAATAATTTTTAATGTATTTTAATTTCCTTTATAAATGAATAATCAATTTAATTTCATACAAAGTCAAATTGTTAAAATACAATATTTCGTAATACGTATGTATCGTAAATTGGAAAGTTCTGTGGAAAATTAAAAATAACGTATTTAACTAATAACTTTTGTAATTATATAATATGTTTATAAAAGTGGAGTGATTTGCATTAATATTCGCATAACTGGTTGATAACCACCATCTCACAAGTCCGTGATCGTGGGACCTGTAAAGGACCTGTAAAGGGCTGAAACGTTGGTTTGTTCAAAGAAACAAATGTACGCGATTTGGATACGAAAAAATAGTTTCATTTCATATGTGCAATCACGAAAACTCAAGAACTCGACAAATTGACCTCTGCTCGATTATAAATTAATGTCGAAAAGTGTTTTTATTCATCTAGACGATAAATTGTGAAAGTTATTACTGGGATCTAACATTGGTTTTCCAATATTTCAGCCGTTACGCTCACGCGTTTGTATTTTACAATACAATAATTGTCTTAAGTGTTTCCTCGCTCGGGACATACTACGGTATAATCACAATGGATGTCATTCAGATAGCTGAAGGAGGAACTTATTTCATAATATTCGCGTACGTCCTGTTAATTTTGTCATGTCAAAAGATAAAGAGTAACATGTTGAATTACTATAGTCTGCAGCGCGTTTTGAAGGAAGACTTTGAATACGTCAGTACTGCGAAGCCTAGTCACAGGTATATGTAACTTTCATGAAATTCTACTGATAAGTAGGTAATCGTATACACATCCACATTTTTTTTTTAGTTTCTATACTCAGTCCAACCATTTTTTTTAACTTTTGACAGCTCGAATTCTAACCTAATGGGTTTCGGATTCGATTTTTTAATAACAATCGATTTTATTTATGAAGAAGTTTAAACCGAGAATGTGAGCGGGTTCAAAAAAGAAGATATTGTCTGATTGGGATGAGGATTCAAGATTCCGGTTCATATGGAGAAAAATTCGACGATTTATTATAATAAACCATAAAGGTTTTTTTTATTTTAAATTTATAAGCACCTAAAATGTTATATTTGGACAGGTATTTTTAAATAAGATAACCATGATATTTGAAATTGTGTGTCCAACTTTATCATTACTTAGTTAATAATTTATTCACCTCATATTTCTCGACAAAACAAATTAAAATTCGAGAACCCTTATCTAGTACATATATTACATCTCAATATATTTTTACAATAAATCTGTATTATATATACACTAAATAAATGAAGAATAAGTCTCAGACATAAGTTTTCTTACTTACCTCAATTCATCTTTCGGAAAACGAAAGAAACTCCTCTCGTTGTCAGGCACTTATGTTCACATACAATGATGTTATATAATTGACGTACTAGTTTCTTAATTAATAAATGAAAACTATATTCAAATATCAAAGCCGTCTTAGCGTGATAACGGCTCGCCGACAACCTTGTTGCCGTTCAGTCAATGTGACCGTCAATGTGCGGGGCGTGGTGCGGTATCGAAAGCTAGGGAGGGGCGGAGAGTGTCCATTCTCGTTACTTTTTCATTCTCTGCTACTGGTATGTTTATTATGTTAAGTTTTTTCTATTTTAAAGTATTCGTCATCAGCTTACACGCATCCACTGCTGAACACTATTACCTACCTTGTTATATACATTACCTATTTTAGTCGCCAAGCAATAATGTTAGCATTACTGAGTTTTGATTTAGAAGGGTAATAGTACTGGTGAAATTACAGGCACAAAGAACTTGTCAACTTATGCCTCAACGTGATCGAGCCCAGTGGCAGTGTTCCTCAGATCTTTGCGATTTAAGGCTCTGAGTGGCACTGCAACTGCTATGGACAGCCGAATATCTTTCTAGATTAGTTTTGATTATAGTGTCCCTATCTACCGATCCGAGAGATAGGGAGTTCCGGGGAGACTGGGCTCCCCGGTAAGACCAGTGTACGACGGGTGTCCCCGCCGTGCCCTCCGCTGGTGGGCCCGGACTTGGGTATGGACTCGCCAGGGTTGTGGTTAGCTGCAGGAAAGAACACGTTCGTCTGCCCCGGTTGCATGTGGCTGGAGCATTCATCCCGCGCGCAGAAAGCGCGTCATAGACGTCTAGGTCTAGACGAGGGCCTAATGGTTAATGGGACTGTTATGGACAGAATAGATATGTAGCGTACCATTAGGCGCAGGACTTGTTCATCCCACTACTTAAAAAAAAGAACTCCCGGTCCAGTGCCGCCCGCATTCTGCCACTGTTGGCCACCATTCTCAGTTCCGTCCATCTTTCCGCAGGGCGTCTTACGCTACGTTTGCCTTACCATTTTCATTTATTATTACAGTAATATATATATTTATAGTTTTTACCCGATACCTGGCAAATATTATAAATTATAAGTTTTGGATGAATAACCAGATGTTTGTTACATTTAACTAATTTCAATTTGAATAAAGCTCCGACCGAATCTCATACTTTACATAATTACATGCAAATAGTTTATTTTTAGGGAAAGGTTCTACAAAAATGAAATGGAGACATGGAAGATGTGCTTACAAGCTGTTGTCTTCATAAGCGGTGGCTGCATTTCACTCTTCATAATAGCCTGTCTACTCCTCGTGTTCCATCTTGCCACCCATGAACCTGGAGATGGCAGTGTTAGACCTCTGTTATTCCCGATATGGATATTTGATTTGGATATGAGTAAAACGCCTTGTTATGAAATCGCGTTCATGTTTTCTAATTGGACCATTTTGACTGTTGCTTACGTCTATAGCTGTAAGTAAATCATCGACTGAAGTCATTTAAATGAGAAAAATTTTTTCCGGGAACAGTCAATTAAATAAGGTGATTCATGATTTTCTAACGTAAAATTCTTCAGGTTAATGAATGGCTTTGGTCAGATAATATAATTATAAAAATTATTGACATAATTCGCACCTCTAGTGAAACACAGACTAACTACCAAAAATTGTAATGACAAAACAATTTTAAAAACACAATTTAAACGGAAAAACATAAATACATTGTGCATACATTAAACTGACTCGGTGACCGAACGGTTACCATGACGGACCGCCACGCAGAGGCCCAGGTTCGATTTCCGGACCGGGAGAAATATTTGTATGGCCTACATTTATTTCTCTCGTCACTTTGGGTGTAATTTGTGGTTGTCTATGTGTGTATCTATGGTATCCGCTACACAGGGTTTCCCTAATGCGGGGCAACGTTGAGTGTGTGCGTTATTAAAAAAAATTAAAAGAAAAAATTCTTTCATTTTTCCACAGAGGGCGCAAACCTTATTGCCATATTTTCACATTCAACATCTCACGTCAAATGCAGCCCTAAACACAGAACTTTTAATTCGTTTTCTATAAATTTTACAAGTGTAAGTTAGTTCACGTTTTCATGAGAAGTTTGCAAATGCAACTCACTTACATGTTTATACTTGCATTTTTAACAGTCATGCTTCAGACACAAATACTTTGGGTAAGGGAGATAGCAGCAAAAGCGGATTTAATGATATACTGCATTGAAGATTTGATGGACGGAATCCAATATGCCGAAAATCCTGAAGATAAAGCGCGTTATGACATAATTCTCAAAACGCGATTCAAACGTATTATAAAGCAGCATCACTCAATGAACGAGTACGTGAAATTCTCAGAATGAGTCCATTAACTTTTAATTTACATCACATGAAACAACACACATTTTTACAAACTGCTAAGTTAAATATTGTTTTAGTTTGTTGCAGAATTTTGCCGGAGTGTTTAAGAAATTATTTATGTTCGAACAAAAACTTGGAGGCCCTGTTGTGTGTTTAACAGCGTTTGGAGTTTCTGAGGTTTTCCACCCAGTGATTTTTAATACTATTCTTTATTCATACTGTAAATATTATTTTAATATATTGTATTGTTACAGAAATTGAATAATGGTATATTTCACCCCGTTCTGTTCATTCTCTGCTTTACAACGGTCCTCGTGATGTTTATACCCAGCTACCTTTGCACTTTTCTTGGCATAAAAGTAAGCATTTAACATCATGAAGCTAAGTTTTGCCTGGAAAAAATATATTGTAAAAAGTTTTCTAAGTTTAAATCTCTGTGGCAGTATATGGCTAACCACAGAACTATAAATACAGTAGAAGTGTCTTCAAAGACAAACCGAAACACGAAACCAAGACCAAAACCGTAGCAAGAGAAACCGAAGAGAAGAACCGAAAGCAAGATTCAAATCTTGCTTTCGGTTGTTTTGACACTATTCTGTTTATGCATTGCATGCTCTTTTAGGTAGCTCCAATGAATCTGCTAAGAGTGAAAACATTTCACAGTTTGTCACTTTTACACGATTTTTATTAAAATATAAACCTCTTGCTTAAATATATCATTAAACTAACATAGCATCCGAAAGAGGTATAATTTACCTAATTAAATTGCTAACTACAAAACATTATTGTGTTTATTATATTTTACACAACATTTTTCTTCTTGAAAAATTACATAAGTCACTTACGAGATATTCACTCTAAGACGTCATTATAATACATTCTTCTATGCTTTTATAAAAGCATATTATATTATCTTATATGTAGCTTAAAAATTGCAGGTCTTATTATCTATATTTTGAATGCTATTCCAGATACGGTCGATATGTGACGCGTGCTGGGATACACCGTTATGGGATTCCTCCTGTTTCATAAGACCGTACTTTGTGCTGATCATGCAGCGCTGTCAAAGACCGCTTCCACTGCAAGCCCCGGGCTTCGAAGATATCTCTTTACAAACATTTTCAAGTGTAAGTAGTGATTTATTAAAATTAAGAACAACAAGTTTTGTGATAATAGTCGTATACATGATTTTTATGCATCATTTTTGCGAAGTATAACAAAACAAGTATGGTAACTGCATGCATACGCAGCAGCACGGCTATGTGTTGCACCCCCACTGCCCATGAGCGCCGATAATAGACCAACCAGAGGCGGCACGCCGACGAAAATGTGTCAGCGGCGGCGGCAGCGTTCCGACGTTGCGAGCGCGAAGATCACTGTTTGTGGCGACCATGAAACATATTTGTATAACGGTGCTTGTTTTTACAACCGTTATACAAATATTTTTTCAAAGGAAAAATAAAATAACGTACTTACTATAGTAATCAAATTTTTATCAGTTCGATTAGACACTCCGATTGTACGCACGTACACGCTTCCCTATTGTGTACGCGTAGTGAAAATAGCGACACCAGAAATTGACAAATTAATGTTTTAAACAAAACATCTTCGAATACAAAGTCACTAAGTTTTATCTTAGAAATGTCAATTTGTGGCGTCGCCATTTTCACTACGCACATACAATATGGAAGCGTGCGCGTGCGTACGATCGGAGCGCCTGAACTGAACTGAACGGCGCGCCGATTGCATTTGTCGGCGGCAGCGGGGCGTGCCGACGCGGCGCTCATATCTAGTACGCATACATTCGCATAGTTTCGCGACGCATTCACGTAGCATAGCGTTGGTCGTCTAACGCGCCTTTTATTATTATGCGAATGTATGTGTTCGCATATGGGTTGGACGTGCCCATGTGCATATGGGCCGCACTGCTGCGTACCTTATTATAGTTACTTATAGTTTTTGTGATCTTGACGAACTCAGCTAAGACTTTTTGTCTTATGTGATTCACTTGATAAATCAAGTGTAACGAATTGTGATTTCCGTCTACCCCACGTTGAGTCATTGAAAATGCTTTTTGAGTGAATTATGATCTTCCAGAAAATGGCCGGGGCTTATTCAATGTTCAACATGCTGCGACAGACAAATATAGGGGGAGGTGCTAAATAAGTACAAGACCATGGCGCAATAAGAATGAAATTAGCACTTTACTTGATTTTTGTATCATGGGTTTCATTTGCAGTAAAAAATAACGACGAAACGGTGAAACAAAATTCCAAGAAAATTATATCACTTTTGACTTCGTCGTAATCGAGTAACAGTAGTCATAAAAAATCACAAAAAATATGGAAATATATGGATTCAAGTATGGATTCTTACTTGGAAATTATAAGCCTATTCTTAATATAATAATAAGTATTACACTGTTATTACAATAATTTATTTTATTACACGGACTTATTCAATATTCATAATTACTAAATATTTTTATTATTTATAAATTTAATATTTATTAATGAATAAATTTCAAATCATTTTCATTGGAGGTATCGATACGTCAGAAGTACTTTTTTCACATGAAAGTCATAAAATTCATATGAACTACATGCACAGATATATATCTAGATAGACGCCGCAAGTACAGCAATTTGTATGACAACCGAGCGTACCACTTTTTATATATCGATCATGACCTCACGAGAACTATTTAGTGATGGGAAGCCTCCTTCCGCGCTAAATCGATTGATTGAACGGAATACACGTATTCCATTCAATTAATCGATTCAGGTATTCGTTGATTACAAGTAGTCGTGAAATATAAATATAATAGAAAAAATATCAAAACAAGATAGTCATGTACTTTATTAAAAATTGTTTTTATAAAATTTTGATTACTAAATAATTTACTTAATAATAATTTAACTTTAATTATTAATCAACTTCAAATATTAAAATTATTGTCTTTGAAATAATATAAGCTTATTATATAACTGTCTTTTTGTAATAGAAAACCTTATCGATTGACTTAAATAATGAAAATGCACGTCAATATATGAACTTGCAACTGCCTTAATTAAATTTACTAGATGATTTTCCGTCAGTGACTGATCAAATTGGTGAAAGGCAAGACAAATGAAAATGTTACTGCTGACAAAATATCTAAAATGTTACTTTTTTTATCAGAAGTTAATCAGAAGAGGTTTACTTAATGTCGGCCTCGTGCAAAGTTTTTGTGATTTGATCATGATATCTCGTATTTCTAACTCTGCTACTCTGCATATTTGGATAGCATCTTTGGTGGGATAAACTAGACCACCTTCGTCCTTGCTCTGAAGCGTAGAAGCGCCAACTAAGTGTTTTTCGATCGATTGATTGAACGGAATACGCGTAAACACGCGTATTCCATTCAATTAATCGATTCTAAATAGAATAATTTTTGTTTAGTAATAGTAGTTGTAATATTAATACAGTAGAAAAATACTAGAATAAGATAGTCTAGTCCTTTATTTTTTACTTTAAAAAAATCAGACTTTACTTTTTAATCGGCTTCAAATATTAAAATTATTCACCTTCCAGTAAAATGAGCTTATTATGTAACATCTTTTTGTAATAGAAGATCTTATCGATTTACTTAAATAATGAATACGCACCTCAATATATGAACTTGCGACTATCTTAATTAATTTTACTACTTGGTTTTCTGTTGGTAATTGATCAAATTGATGAATGGCAAGACAAATGAAAATGTTACTGCTGACAAAATATGGTAAAATGTTATTAATCAGAAAAGGTTTACTTAATGATGGCCTCGTGTGAAATTTTTGTTTTGTTTATTATTTCTCGGATTTCTAACTCTGCTTATTTGGATAGCATCTTAGGTGGGATAAATTACACCACCTTCGTCCTCGAAAGCAACGAACTCATTCTTATGACCAACTCCAGGTTTTTGTAAAGATAAAAAAGAAAAAGTAAAAACAAACAAGAGACAAAGACAAAGAAAAAAGAGAAAAAGAAAGCGCACTGTTAATTTTTTGCATTATATATTTTTTTCTATTACTTGTAATAATTAAATAATAGTAATAATTAACAAGTAATTATTTGCTCACTATATTCCGACATTTGAGGCAACGTGCTGCAAAAATTATCGAAATTACAGATACTACTGATAATAGATACTACAAAACTGAAAAAAAACGAAATGTTACTAATCATAAAAAAAGAGCTTTAGAATATTTTTATAATGTTGCTAAGGTCATAATAATTTTCGTCCCTTTGTTTTCAAAATCAATCAGAATCGAGAACAGTGTTGCCTAACGTCTAAATCACTAAATGTTAAATTTGGCCAAAAAAAGGTACAAGCGGCCGTACCCAAGAAACTGAATGCATTATTCAAAAGTGCGTTCGTTCGGTATTCACGACGTATTAACAAAGGATCACAAATATATCGCACCAAGTAAAAGCCGCAACGTATTACAAATCATGAGGCATACTGGGTTGCATATTTGTTTCCTCGAAATTCATACAAAACCAAAATAATTGTTTTTAAAATAAATTATGCATCTTCTGTTTACAAAATCACTTGTCCGTGGAAGGAAAGGTCCCTGTTTACCCGTTTACTCACAGTTATGGTCCTTTTGCAGTTTATAATTGCACAATTATGTATTTTTCGCGTTTTCGACTGATGTTTATCTACTATAACGCGAGCGCGTTCTGAAGTGTAGCAGTGGCAAGTAAGTGAATTTCACTTACTTTGGGCACACGAAGTGCGTACACTTGCGGCGTCTTTCTAGATATATGTCTGTGACTACATGCAATTGTATAACTTTCCTATTTAGCATAAAAAAGTTATCGACTTCTTCTTGTCGTATCGATAGCATACACTATAATGCTTGCCATCGGAGTAAGGTACTCTGATTGTTGAGTGAAAGGAATGATACGTCGTGCGGGGACGCACCTTTCGTGCACCCCGATCGACTAATATCAGTTAATGTCGTAAAATTTTTAAACCACTCTCCTACAATTTGTCAAATTGCAGATGTGATAAACACAAATGCTGCGAATAAACAATAATGTAAAGTCATATTTTAATAAAATTAAAAATATAATCTTTTCATTATAATTTGAATAAAAATGTAACCCATTAACAGCTAAATATAGAACTTGTTTGTATTTGTAACTAATACAATTAGTGCTGCGACAGTGCATTGCGGTGCGTTATTTTGTATTTAAAAGTTTGTAATGCGTCTCAGCCAGTACTGGTACGTATGTACCATAGCTTAAGACGATCGATTTCTAAGTAACACCAAGTCTGATACAACCCTTATGCGCGCTCTAGGATAAGGCTGCGGTTCCGCCAGAGACGTGCGAGGTAGCCAGGCGGTGCTTGGATGCGTAACGAAGCTGTGTAACTGAGCAGTGCGAGCATGAGTAGCGGACTCTTTTCAGCTCTGCGCGGGTAGGGTGCGAAGCGGTGGTGTGTACGGAGGCGACGGCGAGCTCGCGTTCCTTGCACACGTTCCTCACTCGCATCCCTCGCACTCATTCCTCGCATACGTCTCTCGCTTTTTTGTATATACAAATTCTTATTTCCGCTAACACTTTCCACCAGAGCTGCGCTATGCGAGGCTAGGAACATGAAGTAATCCTATTGATGGATTTTTTCCTCGCACACCACTTAGCTACCTCGCACATCTCTGGTGGAAACGCAGCCTAAGGCCGGAGCGGTGTATTCTTCGGGCAGCCACCCATTTATTGGCAACATGCTTTGTACACATTGTCAACGGTAAAGTTATCGATAGCGATCCATAATAATGCTCAATCTATTACTTTGGGCACGCTGAGGCCATGCTTGCGGTGAACAGACAGTAATAAGATTATATTATAAACGTACACAGCACCAGTAGACCTCCTTATGAAAGAGTTCGTCCAAGGAAGTACAGAACGAACAGAGCTACAGAACGAACCAGCAGACTTTAAGAATTCTTCTGTTACATTTCCATCATTTTTTATTTAGTAATGAAAGCATTTCGGTTTTGAAAGGTAATGGTGCTGGTGAAATTACAGGCACATGGGACTTCATGTCACCTGATGTCTCGGGGTGATAGGTGCAGTGGCAGTGCCCCTCAGTTCTTGATCTTGCGATCTCAAGCCCTGTGTGGTACTGCAACTATTATGGACAGGCGTGTAGTTTACCATCAGGCGCACGACTTGTTCGTCCCGTGACTTGATATTATAAAAAAACACCTATTTATAAATCTGTATTTGCATAATATCTGCCCGCCTCTATTATCGAGTTCTTAGGTTTTCGCATTTGTTATACATAGAAAATAAAACTATTTTTACGTGTCTAAATCGCGTATATTTGTTTTTTCGAACAAACCAACAGTTCGAGGGCTTTGCAGGCTTAATAATAGGGGTTAAAGTATGAAATTGCCGATTTGTACTGAAAATC